GTCTAGATAGAGCCCAACAGCATTGTTGGTGACTGGACAAAGAACCATCTTTAGGAGTTTCTTCTTGAGCCGGCCCTTACCCATCTCCTCACAGCACACATAGACCAACAGGTAATAACCAAGGGAAAGGTGCTAGAGAGGAGAAACACGGGGCGGGCTGTGCCTCAGAGCTTCCACAGACGCTCGGGGCATACTAAAGTCCTATAGGAGGTAGCATTCCCACAGGGTGGTCAGCCTCATCTAGGGTGGAGATAGACATCTCTTCTCTTCCTAGAATGGCTTGTAGGGGGCCCTGTACACAACAGTGCTTGTTCAGTGCTTACTGAATTCATCAGAAAGATCTAGAATGGTGACATGGTGACATCAAACAGATTCTACCCAATGCTTAGGCAGAAAAGATAAACAGCAAACACTGTAGAAAACTATGGGACTGGAGAGATGGCCTGGCTGCTTCCTGTGTGGACCTGAGGACCGAGTTCAGATCTCCAGCACCCATGTGAAAACCGGGTGGGAGGGGGCATGTCTATAATCTTGGTGCTGGGGGTGGAGATAGGCGGATCCCTGGGGTGTACTGGCCAGCCTGCAAGGCCAAATCAATGAGCTTTAGGTTTAGTGAAAGGCCATGCCTCAAGAAAAATAAGGAAGTGGAGTGTCAAAAGGCACATGTGTAAGCCCCCCCTGTCCATAGGAACATGTGCAAACACACACATACAACCTACCACCACCACCACCAACAACAACAACAAAACAAAATAATTTCATAGACTTTACCCTTTGTATAAGGTAACATAAAGCAGCCTAATTTTGCAAATCTCTCCAAGGACATGCTTAGATCATATGAGTAAGTATGAGACAAACCACACCCTTCATGCCTGGAACCCAGGAACCCAGAAGGCCCGTCAGCAGGGTCATAAGACCCAAACCCACATCTGCCACCAGCTGTTTCGAGTCTCACAGAGCCTCCGTGAGATCCTCAGGCCAGATGCTATGGCTAGAGTACGGTCTGAGTCCCATTCAGGAGGCAAGCTCTGTTTACTGAAAGCGAGAGACTGTAACATTCTGCCCAAGTTCCAGGTTACGGGTCTAACGAAGGCAGGGAGAAGATAAAACGAAAGCAAAGCAGCAACCTTCTGGTTTAAGATGGCTTTCACAGCATCCTCTACTTCTTCTCGATTGCTGAGGTCCACGGTCCAGACGTGTGGGCGGCCGATGAAGACTTCTGCATACGGGTGCTGAGACGTCAGCTGAAAGACAGAGGACATGCTGCATCTTAGTTTCGCAAACGCAGGACTACTCAGCTAAAGCTCCGGGCTAGACAAAACGCTGTTGAACTCGGATCTGTGTACAGTGAATGGCACTCTGTCACTAAGCAAGGGCCTGAAGACTCTGTGGTGGTTGATATGGCTTGTCAGCCTGACAGGATCCAACCTCCGGACATAAGGGAGTCTGTCAGGGGGTTAGATCTTGCTGATTAAGGTGGGACGAGCCACCCAAAGGTGGACAGCACCGTTCTATGGGTCAAGGCGGTAGAGTGAATAAAAAGGAGAAAGTGAGCTGAGCACAGCGCCCATCTCTCTGCTTCCTGGCCGTGGATGCCACGTGACCAGCTACCACATGCTCCTGCTGCCACGCCTTCCCCTCCATGATGGACTGTACCCTCAAACTGTGAGCCAAAGTAACTCTTCCTACGCTGCCGTTTGTTAGTTCATATGTCACACAAACGAAAAAAGCAACTAATGCTCCTCTGTAGTTGTCCTGGGCTCTTAAGGACTACTTATTCTCAGCCAAAATTACCTCCATAAATTTAGTATCTATTCTCTGGGCTAGGATGGGCAGGTATTCACAGAAAATCACAATAAGGGCCAAAATAACCCCCTGCCACCACACACATACACACACATACCAAAAGAAAGACCAAAGTCATAGCCAGGGATGCCTGTGATTTCTTTAATTGGCAGGTAGGCATAGGAACCACAAATCTGCAGCCAGCCTGGGACTACACAGTTAACCCCAGTAACAGACAAACCTGCTGCTGGAAAGCACACGGGCACAAGGGGTGATGCCTGGAGAAATTGTGCCACTGGAAGAACTCAGAAGAAATGGTTTCAGAAATAATCATAGCAACATCAGAACATGAGGGTCATTGGCTTTAAAACGTATGGGCAGGTGTGCATCTATGTGCGCATATGCACATGTGCAGACAGCTACAGAAGCCAGAAACGGTTGTAAGAGCCGCTGAAGCCAGTTTAGTTACGAGCTGCCTGACCTGGGTGCCAGGGAGAAGAGCAGTATGGGTTCCTAACCACTGAGCCATCTCTCCAGCCCCAGAAAACAGTATTTGTAAAGGCAATTTAGAATCAGAAAAGAAAGGAGTGAGTCTCCTTCCTGATGGTTTTAAGAATCAAGTAGCCAGGACAGCTGAGATGCTCTGTAGGAAGGGGCACTTGGGGTCCGGACTGATGACGGCTCACGTTTCATCCCCACGTGGCAAGAGAGGACTGACTGCATGAGCTGATCCCTCACCTCCACAAGTGTACTGTGTGTGGCACATAGACTCACCCTCCTTAAAGAATAAATGTAAAAAAAAAAAAAAAGCGTGGCTAAAAGAGACTGGGGAGTTGGTAGAGTGCCTGGCTTCCTCCGGGAATCTTCTTAAACCTCTTTAAGGCAGTGGGTAAACAAGAACCTTTGACACGCTTGTGGAAACATTTCAGGTGAGCACCAGGGACACATGGCAATGGCATCCGGACGTTGTACACAGGGAGGACTTGTCATCCCCCAAGGAGCTTGTGTTTGTTTGTTTGTTTCATTTACTTGTTGTCTGTTGAGACTGAACACAGGGCCCTGAATACACTAAGCATGTTCTTTACCACCTAGGTCACCAGCCCGGAGAGCTTTCATATGCCTTGCTGGGATTTCATGCGAATTCATGGAAGAGAACTCGTAGAGGTCATCTGCATGCACATTGAATTGTCCAGGACTGTAATTACATTGCTATATTATATATAGCAAGAAATGCCTTTTTTCTTTAAGATGAAATCTTCTACAGTCCTGGCTGCAGCTTCTGACTCATTAGGAAAAGGAAGATGACCTTGACCTTCTGATCCTCTTACCCCCACCTCTAGAGTGTCGGATGAATGACAAGCTTGGTTTGCACAGTGCTGGGAAGGGGCCCAGGCCTCCTGCATGCTGGGCAGGCACTCCTGTGCCTTCTATGGGTCTATTCGAGACTTCGTCCATCAGCAGTTGCCATATCAGAGAAACGTCACAGCAACACCAGTGTTCCTCTGGGAATTACCCTTTAGTAAAATATGCCTCCATGGGTTGATGCCACATTAACCACAGCTCTATAAACGTGTGTGATGTGTACACAGATTACATTCAGCTCCCTTTTCACAACAGCAAACATAAGAAAATGAGGCTGGCAGTGTACAGATGAATATTTTATACCTTTAAATACAACTGTTCACTTGTAAGGTGGAACCAGACATCCCATCTTCTACATTAATACTGACAAAATACCTATTATTTTCCTGGAAATAGTTTTTAAGTATTTCTTTTATATATATTATAAATGTAAAAAAATGATCTACAAAGGCAAGTTCTATTATTTGCAAATCTCATTTCTGGAGAGGAAATACATTCTATTTATTCTTTATTTATTAATTTACTAACTTGTTCCCCCAGTCACTCATTTACTGTATGTAACCGTATGGGCAATGTGTGTGCAGTTACATGCCCTGTGTGTATGTGCCAAGGCCAGGGGAAGACACTGGGTGCCTGGCTGTACCACTCTCTGCCTTATTCACGTGAGACAGTGTCTATCACTGAACCTGTGCTCACTGGTTTTAGCTAGACTGGCAGGCCAGCAAGCCCCAGGGATCTCTGTTCCCCACCACCCCAGCACAGCTGGTGCAGGTGCTGGAGGCAATGCTTGCCATGTATGTTGGTGCTCAGGATCCAAAGCTGGGGACCATACCTGTTCAGCAAGGGCTCTCACCCACTGACCAATCTCTGCAGCTGGGAAATGCATCCTAACCTCTTCGTTACAGGAGCTGCTATTGCTGATGCTAGTGCTATGGCTTTGGCTTTTGAGGCCAGCCTGCCTCTCTTTCTTGTTTTTCCCTTTCTCTCAATTTCCACAAGTACGTAGACACTTAGAGAACTACAAAGCTAATTAGCAGCTGCCGTCTCTTTGCCACTGCCCTTGGGACCTCATCAAACCAGCCACTGCAAGTCCAGTTTGGAGTAGGAAGCTAGGAGCACAAACCTCTGGGAAAGTCTCCAGGAAATCTGAAGACCTTGCTGTCCTGAGGCTGTGACCTTTCTTGGCTTCTACGCAAGCTCCCTCTCGTCACAGCTCCCCACCCCCACCCTGTCACAGCCCCTCCTCTGTGGTCAGTGCTGAGGAGTTTGCAGGCCCACAGAGTCATGGAAATCTTATTTTCTAATTAAAAAAAAAACTCTGTATAAAATATTTTGATTCGATACCAATCCACAAAGTTTTTGGTTGGGCCAGACATTGAGCTCATCCCCAATCCATATATTATTTATCAGGCTTCCTATATATCACAAGGATTCCAAGGTTCTTGGAGTCTACATAACTAGAAAACAGCAAAGCCAAGTTCAACTCTAGACCCTTCAGCAACTGAACAGCTTTATGTGGATGTGCTTGTGTGTGTTTGTATGTACGAGTGTGCATATGAGTGTGGAGGCCAGAAGTCAATCTTGGGTGTCATTCCTAAATCAACCTGGCTTGTTGGCCGAAGAGCCCAGGGATCCACTTGTCGCTGCCTCTAGCACTGGAATTACAGGCTCACACTGCCACACCAGCTTTTTACCTCTCTTCTGAGGCCAGAATCAAGTCCTCCAAGCCTTCTACACCAACTGAGCTGTCTCCCCAGTTCCAGTTCAGTATCTTTGAGCAAACCACCAAACTGAGTCCACCACCAAATTCTTAAGAAAAAAAATGAACAAAACCTCAAAATCACTCTTAAAATTTACATATATATGTATATGTATATCTCTCCATCCCAGGGCTGCGTTAATGCCATGTTAGACCTTTTGAGAGTATGGGCAGACTGTCACATCATTTCTGCTAATTAGTCCATCTACTGCAAAAATTTCTACCACCAGCAATGTCACCATTGAGTCATCTACATGGTAGTGCAGGCTCAGCTCAGCCCTCCCCTCCCCTCCCCTCTTTCAAGGCCCCTGCTTATTTACAAGACTGCTCTAAGCAAGCGCTTAGCAAACACACAATGTGGAGCCATTACTGTTTGATTCGTTTGCATTTGCTGAGGGTTACTTAATTTTACAAGTGAGGCCTTTTTGATTCATTAAGCCCTCTCAGAACTCTGTGTTCCTCCCTGTTAATTTATTGAGGACCGCTGATCTCAGCCCCTTGAGTGCATATCTGTCAGTAGGTTTACTGGGCATCCTCCGGACAAGCAGCATCTTGGGAAATATGAGAGGTGACTGCAGAACCGCTGTAGAGCCTTCAAGGAGATTCCACGCTCCCTTTACAGGAACCTATTAATATGTTCCCCAATATAAAGATAAAAATCTAATTTATATTAAAGTCCAATGAAGCAACTCCACTCCTCAAGGCAATCTGGAGTCTTCCTTCCCTGCTCTGAACAGACAATGCACTCTGAAAACTTGGTGTGATGCAAAAATAAAAACGAAACTAAACGCAAATTTAGAGATCTCAGTTTTTCCCCTTTCCTTCAAGTGAAGGCAAAGAGAAATAGAGACAACTGACCTTAATCAGTGTTTGTGTGGGAAGGGTCGTTCAACAGAAAGTGTCTGAGGGACACTGAGGCAGTCTGTGACTTCGGGTTAAAACTTTTCCATTTGCGGAGGTAAGAGAGATCATTTCTAAGGGTGTGTGTGAGAGCTTTCTTGCTTATTCTCCACCATTTCTTTCGGAGACAGCATTTCTCAATGATCCTGGAGCTTGCCAATTCCTTGGCCAGTAAGGCCAAGGGATTCTGTCTGCCTTCCCAGGTTGAAGTATATGCCACCATGCCTGAATTACTCTGTCTGTCTGTCTATCAATTGTGTTTGTGTCAGTACCTGCATATGTGTGTATGTGTGAACTGGTGAACTGAGTACATGCTTGGTACCCAAAGAGGCTAGAGAGGGCATGGATCCCCTAGAACCGGAAGTTATGAACCACTAGATGTGGGTGCTGAGAACTGACTCCAGTCTTCTGCAAGAGCAGCCAGTGCTTTAACCACTGAGCGTCTCCCCAGTTCCCTCGAGATCAGTGGTTTCCAGCCTTCTAATGCTGTGACCCTTTAATGCCATTCATGCGGGGGAAACCCCCAACCATAAAATGATTCCATTGCTACTTCATAACTGTAATGCTGCTACTGTTACAAATCATAACGTAGATATCTGATATGCAGGGTATGCAACCCTTGGGGGTCGAGACCCATAGGTGGAGAACCGCTGTTCTAGAGGCTTCGGGTTTAGAACTCTGTAGACTTGTTGGCAGCTCTTTTCCAACTAGAAGCATCTTTGGTTAAGGAGATGTGCGGGCTTTTGAGAGCTGTGGAAGCAGGGCACATGGCTCTTTTTGCCGTGAGGATCAAGGTCACCACTCCCTCTCAAAGCTGTTAGATGTCGTTTTCCTGCATGAGGCCGACGAGCCTTGGTTCTCCATTGTTCATCCACTCTAGAAGTTCTCCCTCTCCTTTCTATTTAAAGCGTACCCCAATCCCTTTCCACTAACACTGAAATTCTGCCTTTGTCCAACTCCAAGGTAACTCTCCTCTTTCATCCACTTAGCTTTTATTTCGGTCTCGTGTATTTCAGGTTGGCCTTGAACTTGCTATATGGCTGATATCGACTTTGAACTCCTTACTCTCCTGCCTCCACTTCCAAAGTGCAGGTGTTACAGGTGTGAGCCACCACACCTATTTCGTGCAGTGCTGGGGATGAAACCCAAGGCTTCTGAGCCAGGCAAGTGCTCTACCAACCAGGCCACATCCCCACCCCCACTCTGCTATCTCTATACCTTGTATGATGGTGTGGTTGCCTTCTCACGCTCCCACATCAGATATGAAGCTACTCGAAAATGGAGAACTCTCTGCCAAACTCCCCCAGGATAGCAGCTAGTACCACAGACTGCTGCGTGGACAGGCTCAGCTTCTGAACACTCCCTTTGGCACCTTGGCCTTCTGTGGGAACACTGGGCTTAGGGAGTTGTCTGGATGAGGTCGCATGTGGAGCCACTGATGGCAGGACTCCATAGTCTCTCTCATGGTCTCATTTAAGAACTGAAAGAATATTCCCTTGCAGGTGCTTCAAGGCCTCTTCTCTCCTTACGCCACAGAGGATGAGCAGCCTCCCCAACTTCAGCATGATCACATGACTAAATGATGACAAGTGACAGAGGACAAGGAACACTTCCTCAGTATTGGCTGGTGTGAGCACTGTCAGGTGACGTCATTCCCTGGGCATGGGGTAGAATATGTTCGGGAGTGTCCTTTCTGTGTGGATGTGCGCATGTGTGTATGGATACGTGTATGTGCGTGTATGCCCATGTGGAGGCCAGAGATCAATCTCTTGAGCCATCCCTTTTTTTCTTTGGAACAGAGTCTCTTCCTAGCCTGGGACAAATCGGACAAGCTTGGTTGGCTGGCCAGCAAGCCCCAGGGATCCCCTGTCTCCTTCCCCACACTTCTAGGATTACAGGTGAGTGCTATCATGCCTAGGTTTGTTTGTTTGTTTTCAAACATGTGTTCTAGGGTCTGAACACAGGTCGTCCTGCTTGTGTGGCAAGCACGTTACCCACTGAAGCTATTTCCACAGCTCCAACCTTTAAAGGTTTTTACACATCAAGAGAAATTTGGGTAACAAATAAAATAAGAGAAAATATTTACAAATTATATCATAAACATCTAAGGAACTTCTACCGCTCAAAAGCAAAAAAATAAATAAATAAATCAACAAACCCCATTTAAAAATAGGCAAAGTATTGGGTGGTGGTGGTACATGCCTGTAATCCCAGCACTTGGGAGGCAGAGGCAGGTGGATTTCTGTGAATTGGAGGCCAGCCTGGTCTACAGAGGAAATTCCAGGACAGCCAACGCTACACAGAGAGACCCTGTCTCTAAAAGCAAAAACAAACAAAAAAGGACACTGTATCTAAATAGTCATTTCATAAAGACTCCAACAGAGGGGAGGAAGGGAAGCAACCCATTTGACGCACTGCTTGGAAGACAAGCCGAGGAAGTGTCCCGAAGGGTTAAAAAAGCAACAGAACTGAAAACGAATGTTCTAGAAACAGCAGCTGCTGGGTCATACTAGGCCTTCCCAGCACTAACTGCCCAGCCAAAGGCCCCGCGGGATTCAGCTTTAATTTCCCCATGCATGAGCAGCCAGGGGAGCCACTAACTGCCCAGAAATAACACAGAAGCCAATCTCATGGTTTCCTGCACACACCTGTGTCTGCCCAGATACAGAATCATCCCCACCTTTGGCATACTGATCACCCACACGGAGCTCTAAATGACTTCTGTTTATGGCCCTGAATGAACCCCAGCGATGCTCCGTGGTGATTCATCACCCCACTGCAGGTTCCTGTGAGCATCTGCAAAGGCAAATGGGCCAAGGCTCCCGTGAGAGGCTCTTGCTATATGGGGATGGCTTGACAGCCTGCCGAGGGTGGGCTGAAATCTCAGGAATATCCCATTCATCAACTATGCTGTCTTGTCTCTGATTCTCTCTCTCTCTTTCTCCTCTCTCTCTCTCTCTCTCTCTCTCTCTCTCTCTCTCTTTGTGTGTGTGTGTGTGTGTAAATGCTTGCTCAAATCTAGTCACAGGCCAACCTTGGCTGTTATTCAGGCACTATCTACCTTGTTTTCTTGAGATGTAGTCTCTCATCAGTTTGGGACTCGACAAGAAAACTAGATTGGCTGGCAAGTGAAGCCCAGGGACTCAATTGTCTCTGCTTCCTTGGTTCTGGGGTTCCAGGAGCCTGCTACCATGCCTGGCTCTTGACAGAGTTCTGGGGATTTAATGTGCATGCCAAGCGCTTTATTGACTAGTCCATCTCCCCCACTCTGCGGCTGACGTTCTCTGTGAAGAGTCACTGGCCGCCGTTTCTTCTTTACCATCGCCACGTGCAATGGAGAGAGGCCAGTGAGTGTTCCCAGCGGCCTCCTCCTCCCAGCTGTCAGCCGTGATTAAAAGACTAGAAAGAACACCCACCATGGTCACTGAAAAGAGAGTTGGGGTAGGAGCTGCAGAGTTGGCTCAGCACACAGGAGCCTGTTGTGCAAAGGCGAGGACCTGTGCACGGGTCCTCAGCACAGAGTGGGCATAGAAGCTGGCTTTTAATCACGGAGACTAAGAGGTGGAGGCAGGGGACCTCAGGGCAAGCTGGAGCACTCACATAAGTGAGTTCTGAGTTCACTGAAAGACTGCCTCAGTGAATATAGTGACAAGTGATGGAGAAGACCCCACACTTCACCCTCTGACCTCTACAAACATGCCCGCACACATGTGCACGCCTGCATGTGCACATGCGCACACACGTGCCACCCATCCACACACACACTCACACACATAAACACAAGAGCATAGAAGAAAGAGGAACGCTTCTGATGCTCACCTCTCTCAGGGTCGGCTTGCCAATGAAGAAGTCTGTGTTTTTGCTGCTCTTGGGAGGGTTGAACTTGGGGTTCAGGAAAGCACAGCCATTTGCGATGGCCTCCAGGGGAGCTGGACCCTCATAGGGGAATCCCAGCCCAACAAACAGCTGTAAGACAGGAAAACACATCACATGAACATGGCAGTCACAACTGCCTCTCAGCTCGGGTCAGTTTCTGTGGGTGCCTCTGACATACTGTGAGGGGCTTAGCTCTCGAGGTTGGTGGCTTGGGACAGAACAAAGGGGATTAAAGCAGGATCTGCAGAACTGCAGGTGCAGCACAGGAAATGCAAGGCCCTGTGGAGGGGCTTGCCTTGTTTCCGGCTCCCTTGCTGATATGCAAGTAAAGAAGAGGTGGGACTCTGGGGAAGGGAGAGTGGGAGTATGAAACGAAACCAGCAATAAACCCAAGACCCAACAATTGTCTTTCTGTCCCTTAGCAGGAGGCATAACTGTAAAAACACTTGCTTAACTAAACAGAAGGTTTCTTCACTCAGGCAGGGAACAACGGGCCCTTTCAGGGACTCTGGGGCCCAGGGGCAGAAAGGTCACTTGATTACAGTTCAAATGGAACAGCGTTGGAACTTGGGAGGTCAGTAAACACAGGTTTATGATAGAGTTTTCACTAGGGACACCACCAGCCGGCAGGTTTTGTTTTTCCCTCTGTGGGAGCCGAAGTTGCAGAGGCTGCGATTTCCCACTTCCCTCCCCGGCAGGCAAACCTCGACTTTCCCTAGACGGACAGTAGATGGCAGCAGAAACAAGCTAAAGGTCCTCAGCGAGCACAGAGCGGCAGGGAGTTGCTGGGACAAAGCGATTGACACATGGGTCAGTGAGCCCTCAAATGGAACGGTCTCTGTATGGGGGTACAGTACTGTGCATGGCTGCTGCCAGGTGTATCTAATCCTGGTCCTCTCTGGTCACGTGCAGATGCCAAGTCTGAAGGAGCTCCAGAGGCACACAGCCTGTGCTGTGTGGGGAGGGTGAAGGATGTTGGGGTTCCTTGTGCATTCGCGTTCAGGAATACCCAGGCTGTTTCCCCCAAGAAATGTAACCATCCAGGCAGTAATGAAGATATCCTAAAGATGACAGGCATTAGAGCCCCTCCCTTTGGCCATCAGATATTGAAACAATGAGCCCCACGGAACTGGAACTTCACTTTAGTCTCAAGCAGAAAGAAGGGAAAGGCCGGAGCCTGGTGTCAGTCAGGGAGGAACTTGTCCCCCAAGAAGAGATTTCACCCAGTCTGACAACTTGTCAGACAACACTGCAGGACAGACTGACTGGAACTGAGACAAGGATGGGTGAGTGACGGACTGAATCGCACCTGGACCAGGACCACTTAGTGATGAAATCTCCTGTCCTCTGTTTAACCTAAGCCCAGTGTCAGGACCCCAAAGATGGTGTGGGAGTCACGAGATCCCTTTATTTGTTCTCTCCCCAGTGTGATCACAATTAAGTAATTCCCTTTTCTCTGCACTTCCCTATCTCTGATCCCTCTAATTGACCCATTGAGGAAAAATGGCCGCACCTACTTGGCATGTCAGGGCTGCCAAGGCCCAGATCCAACCCTAACAATCCACTAACAGCTGGGAACACCAGGCAGCCCTCTCTTTTCAACTTTGAGAAGAAAATGCCAGTAGATACAGACAGGGTCTTGGCAGGTTTAACCAGAGCTGTTGAAGCCCACAGTATTTCTTGACCTCTGAAAACGAGGGTCTGCCAAGAAGTGCTGATGCCCTCCTCAAGTCTACATTGTCAGAAACAGCTTTGGAAGAAATGGAGGCAGCAAACGCCTATCCATTTAAACAGAGAACCTTTGGCGAGGGATTATCTCCTATCTGCACCTACTATTAAAGGATGAGAGGCTATTGCTTGATGAACTTGAATGTGACCTAAGCTTAAATATATCTGAAAAATAATTTGCACCAACAATTATGCCCTACTGGCACCAGAGCATCTCAGTACACATAAACACGTGGGGGGCTGGGGAGAGGGCTCAATGCTTGCAGTACAAGCATCAGAACCCGAACTTAGATCCCAAAGCACACACGAAACTGGATGCAGTAGCACACTTTGTAATCCCAGGCTCCTACAAGTGAGACTGGAGGCAGAGGCGGGAGAATCCTTAGATCCTGAAGGCCAGCTAGTTGGGATTACACAATGGTGAACAATAGTGACCTTATCTCAAACAAGGTTGAAGGTGAGGATGGATAGCTAAGGTTTTTGTCTGACTTCTACATGCAGACTGTGGCATTCAAGTACCTGCACTCATACATATGAACACATGCACACATACACACCATATACACACAGAGATGAAATAAGGAACACTTAGGCCTAATTCTCCCAAGCCTCGCTCACTAGCTTCCAAGGACAATTACACCACAAGGAAACACGACATCATTTCTTTCTTTTTCTTGTTTTTCTTCTTTGTGACTGTTTCTCTGTGTACTCCTGGCTGTCCTGGAATTCCCAGACTGGCCTCAAATTCACAGAGAGCCTTTGTCTCCCGAATGCTGGGATTGCAGGCGTGTACCACCACTGCCTGGCTACCTCACTATTTCTTGGCAACAAATTTTTTTTGGTCACACCAATTAAGACGACAGGAACTGATGCATGCCTTTGAAACACTGAAGTAACAATTTTCTGTCAGCTCTCACTAAGGAATTTTTCTCTTGGTTCCTGTGTACTCAATATCTGTGACAGTACACTGAAGCACATGTATGAAGGTCACAGAACACATCTAAGGGTTGAGAGTCAATAATCCAGGTAGAAAAAACTCACTAAAGGCTTCTGCCTACTTGTAGTCTTGACACACAACTCATCTGTACCAACTTGCTTTTTCTATTGATCCGCCACTGTATCTATATAGGACCCTCCCTTCTCCCCCTCCATCTCTCCCCCAGGCTCTCTCTGACTCCCCTTTCCCTTTCTTCTCTCTTTCTGAGGATTTCATATTATTTCCACTCCATCCTTATAGAATTTTTTACCACAGAAGGGAGAAACACAAGACAAGAAGGCATTCAAGGACCGGGGAGAGGGCCTAGTGGGTAACCGCACTTGCTGTGAGTAAGAGGACCTGAGTCTGAACCCTCAGATAAAATTCTGGGTGAGGTCACACATTCCAGCAACCCCAGCGCTGTGTGCAATAGAGAAAGGTGCTGAGGCGGGATGGTCCCAGCCTAGCTCCAGGTTCACTGAGAGACCCCGTCTCAAGGGAATACAGCTGCGTGTGACAGCGCAGGACACGTGCTGTCCTCCTCCAGCCTCAGCACAAACTCACACGGGTGTACACGTCTGTAAACATATGTGTGCACATACATACACACAGACACTCATGTGAAAATTGGGCAAAAGAAAACATTCAGTGCTAAGGCTTAACTCTTCCAGGGAAAACTGGCCATGCTGCACGGGCTTAAGTCTGCCCTTCAGAAGACCAGCGTCTAACAGGGATGGATACTCTAGACGGTAGACATCTCCATGGCTACAGCTCCAGCTCCAACAGTGAGTGTGTCTAAACTGAAAGATCTCACTATCTGAATTAAAATGATGAGGAAGATGAGACAAAGGAGTGTACATCTTATTCATGTCAGGACACCCTGACTCAGTCGCTGAAGTATTTTTCTCTGTTTTGAAAGGAAAAAGAATTGTCTTAAGTTCTAAGTAAGCTAATGAAGATTCCTCTAACCACTCCTGGGCTTGGTCAGAGTCGCTCTCTTCTATTATAAGTATGTGGTTATGTGCACATGCATGCACGTGTGTGTGGGTCAGGGGTCAACTGTGGATGTCTCCCTCAGCTGTTCTCTCCATTGCTTTCTCTCATCTGGTGAGGCTGGCTGGCCAGTGAGCCCCAGGGATCCAGTAGCCTCCATTCCCCCAGGGCTGGGATTAGAAGTGATTACCACTACAACCAGTGTTTTAGCTGTGGATTTTGGGTGATCAAACTCAGGTTCTCGTCCCATTAATTACTTTATTATGTAGTGGGGGCTAAACCCAGAGACCCATATATACTGGGAAGTGCTGTATCACAGAGTTACATGTCCAACTCCCGTTCTGGTCACTTTTAATGGGGGAACACCAAGAATAAGAAGAGATTGGACCCACATAAACTCAACATGTACTTCTCTGATCTTTATTAATTAGCCAGTGTGGGAGGCTCAGGAAAGAGTCTGGGCAATGAATTAACCTCAGCTTGCCGAGAAAACAGATTGCTGGTCAAAATGGCCAGGGCAATGGGGTGATTGGTAACAGCACAGGCTGTGCAGTCAGAAAGACAGGGATTCAAATTCTGATGCTAACAGTTCCTCATCCGGTAACCACGGCAACTGTCCGTGTGCGCTCATTCATGGTCTACTCTCACTGGGTCTAGAAGCTCACCTAAGAACACACAAGCACTCTGTCTACTTAGGAGCAAAATGGGGCCACCAGTGATGCTTTCCAGCATGGCGTTTGCTGTGAGGACTGAGGAAATATCTGATAGAAATATGTAATATTCTCAGGCTGGGTGCCTAGTAAACATCTGAAAAATTGTTGCTCAAGTTCAAATCCAGTTGTAATTTCACACAGCTAGACATTATGCTTGTCCTTCTTTCATACGGTTGGAGATGAAGGACCTGGGGGCTGTTCATGGGTTACGACAACTTTAATCCTTTCATGTGTTTTTATGAGTTCCCTTCCTTCCTTCGTTCCTTCATTCGTTCCTTCCTTCGTTCCTTCCTTCCTTCCTTCGTTCCTTCCTTCTCTACTGCCTGCCTCTGCCTCCTAAGTGCTGGGATTGAAGGTGGGTACCACATAAAACTTGTTATGTCTAACAAGTTTTCACTATTCCATCCATTGCTAAACTACCAGAAGAGAGAATCATACACAGTGTAGCGACTTCCAGGTACAAAGGCCAGTCCTACAAACTGCATACTATCGCTAGGCCTCCCCTGTTTGTTCTTGACACAGTAGCAGGGCGGCAATCTATTCCTAGGAATAGGTATTCCCTTTATATCTTTAAAGAAGAATACGTACAATGGTTGAGTATGCTGGTCAGTTTTAATTGTCACCTCAACACATCCTAGAATTCCCTGGGAGTCTCAGTGAGGGATCCTCTAGATCAGACT